CTGCTTTTCTACATGGAAACTTGATGAAAAATCTACATGTCTCAACCTAAAGGTTTTGAACAAAAAGGTAAAGAAAATCTTGTATGTCTTTTACAAAAATCACATTATGGTTTGAAACAAGTTCCGAGACAATGGTATATCATGTTTGATACTTTTATAAAGGGACTTGATTTTAATATAAGTGAATATGATCCATGTTTTTATTACAAGGGCATAGGAGGCCCTGATTCTTGTTATCTTTTGTTCTATGTTGATGATATGTTACTTGCTTGGTGTGATATAATTGAAATTGACATGATTAAGCAAAAACTGAAGCAGGAATTCGAAATAAAAGACCTAGGAGAAGCTAAAAAGATTCTAGGGATAGAAATGAGAAGAAATATGAGTAATCATAAATTGTTTATCACACAACAGTCTTACATTTCAAAGATTTTATTCAGATTTTCTATGGATAATGTCAAAGAGGTCACTTTACCTCTTGGTAGTCATTTTAAATTTTCATCAGAATAATGCCCTAAAACTGAATTAGAAAAGACTAGAATGGAAAATGTTCCATATGCCAATGCTGTAGGGTCTATTATGTATGTTATGATATGCACCAGACCTGACCTTGCCTTTGCTATAAGCGTATTGAGTAGATGCATGAACAACCCAAGTGAATATCATTGGGAAGCCATGAAATGGTTATTTAGATACTTAAAGGGCACTTCTGATTTAGGGCTTATGTTTAGTAAAAGTAAAATTGGGATTAAACTGAAAGGCTTTGGTGATTTTGATTTTACTGGTAACTGTGATAATAGAAAATCAACTTCTGCATATGTCTTTACTTTAAACGGTTCATGCATTAGTTGGAAATCACAGGTACAAAAGATTGTAGCTTTATCTTCTACAGAGGCTAAATATATTGTCGCTACTGATGTTGTAAAGGAAGGTATATGGCTGAAAAACTTGCTAAATGAAATTGGTTTTTCTGAAAATAGTGCTGTAATATTTTATGACAGTCAATCTGCAATACACTTAAGTAGAAATCCAGTGTTTCATGATAGATCTAAACATATTGATGTTAAATTTCATTTTATAAGAGATGTTTTAGAAAAGGAAATCATGAAAATTGATAAAATATCTACTAAGTGTAATCCTACAGACATGGGTACAAAAATTCTTTCTTTATACAAATTTAGGGATTGTTTAAATCTCCTAAATGTCATTACTAACTAATGGTTTTTTCAGGTACAAAGAGCAAATGAAGATGAAGTAGGTGTTAACCTATAATTCACTATGAAACCCAAATTTTCAAGTAAGGTGGAGATTATTAAGTTGGTGCTTAACAATTTTGGCCCAAATTGAGACAGCTCCATTACCTAACCTTTTGTTCTGGCCCTATGATACACCCTTACTATTGTGAGAAGACCAGCCCAATTCGGAATGCAACCCAGTAGCCCAATTACACTTATCTCAAAGGTTGAGATTATAACACGTGGATGAACTGTGACCGTTGGATGCTTCTGACTGTTGATATCTTGGCTTGACTCTCTATTTGTCTCATTCATTCGAGATCATCCTAGGATTTTCTCTCTTTTTGGCTCTCTATTCTTTCTCTGAAAACCTTTGGTTTTCACATGTAATCTTTGATCTAGATGATTCTTGGTGAGATCTAGTGTTTGATTAAACCTTGGTTCTGGTTTTCTATTCTTATGTGGGCAGTAACATTTGGTTACTTTGTGTAATCGTATTTCTGAGTGTTTGTGAGAGATTCTTGGATTTGAGGACTGATCCTTTGTAGATCTATTGTATTGTGACATTGATCTTGATAATATTGTTGGTTTCTAGTGGATTGGAGCGTTAATCATTTTGATGAATGCTCAACAAGTGACTAGCCCTAATTTGGATGAACATCCGGGTTTTAGGGTGAAAAATCCTTCGTGTTCATTTCTATTTTCTGTATTACTTTATGTTTTGAGGCTTGAATAATTCCTACAGATGGTGGCACACAAATCGACGTGGCATGGCACACAAATCGAGATTGACATGAAAGACAAATCGAGCTAAGCCATTCCTTGAAAAATAATGTCAAAAATACTTATAAATGGCAATTACTCTTTTCTTTACAATATCTCAACAATTAGAATTACTTCAATAAATTTCTCTTAAATGTATCTATACCATCACGTCGATTTTAATCATCAACATCGATAATTAGGTAAAAGTAAAAATATCATGCGATGATGACCATTATCTCATGACCTTAAGTAAAAGTCGAAATGGGTTCATAATTCAAACTTGCTCTACGTTTTATTCGGGACAAATTTGAATGAGTCCTTAGATAATTCATTAAAAAATAGCTAACTAAAAAAACCGTTGTTTAAAAAACAAACACACTACACGTACAGAAGGGAAAATAACATAAATGGGCTAGAATACTCACACCATGTGGGGCTTGCGCATTTTTTATATTCTTTTTAATACATAGTGGGGCCCACCCCTTTGTGAGTTTTCTGGTGAATTTCTATGGCTTGATTTCTGTACAAATGGCAAAAATCTGTAAAAAAATATGTTACGTCTCAAATACGCAGTCAATGTCAGAATTGAATGGTTTTGACGAGCCAAATTTAGTGGGCATGAAATTATAATAAAATAATACAAAAGAAGATTCATGTTTGGTCCACATTATTTTTTTCATTTTCATTCTTCTACTCATTTTCAACCACACATTTTTCAATAAAATAATATTTTTCATCATATCAATAAATTTTTTTTTTTTCAACCACATATTCCTCGTTATATCAACAGTAAAAATACATTATCATATTCAAAATGTGTACCAAACGGGAGCTATAATTAGTTTCTAGAAAATATACAAGAACAGTGGATTGAATTTTCTGAGTCAGCTTTATCAATAATATATTAGAAACAAAAGATTCCAACATTTGGTCCCCCAGTATGTCAAAATCAGATCTGATTCAGACATCATTACGTATGCAGTGACGTGATATATCATTTCATTTTTAATTTTCTAGTAATTCAAACAAAATTGTTTTTGTGAATTGTATCAACCCTTATGTTCATCTAACATTTTTCAAAATGGAGCACTCAATTTCGTTTAATATTAATTGAAAGTCATTCTGTATTTTAAAATCTAACGTACAATAGATTAAGAATTTCAAACTTTTAAGAAAAAAAAAATTCATAAATAAAAAAAGATATTTAGAATTTCAAAGTCAGATAAATAGAAGTTCCCTTCTAATCGATAGCCAGTCCAATCAAACTGGATGGTGTGCGGTCTTTGATATAATGTTTTCCTTCTAGAACACATAGTTATGTCAAAATATATTTAAATTTTTACGTTAAAAAATATTTAACTTATGCTTGACAATCATTATTTTAAAACTCTTTAATTCTCATATTTATTTTCAATCACATATTTAAACAATATAATATTTTTCATGTAAATTTAAATTTATTTTAATATTTTAATCATACATTCTCTTAAAATTATTATTCAAATTTTCTTTTTTTTTCCAAAATAATGGTCATCAGTAGTAAATTAAAGTATATTTCTGTTAAATTGTACGTGGCGAAAATTAGAGAAATGGATTGAATTTGCTGACACGGCTTTGTCAATAGACAAAGGGACCAACATTTTGGTCCCTACCTTGTCACAAGTCAGATTTAGATCCTTCGTATCAGATAAATATATACACATCATTGTTCAACTCATGACGTATTCAATGACGAGATATATGAATTTCATAATTTTTTAATCAAATATTTCATGAATTTCTATCAAAATATACAAAAAATTTAATTTTAATCCAAATGTTTAATTTTTATCTAAACCACTTGTCTAAGTTTAAAAGAGTAATATATTCATTTAAATTGTCTCAATATGCCCCCTTGCATGTAGTGGTGGCAAAAAAACTCGACGGCTCGATCTCGGCCCGAAAAAAGCCCTAGTCGGGCCCGGCTCGAGCTAGATGGAATCGAGCCTTGGCTCGGGCTGAGCCCCATTTTGGGGGGTCGGCTCGAGCCAGGCCGTCCCGTGATTAATTAAAAAAAATTAAAAAAATAATTTTTTTAAAGATAAAATAGTTGAAATAAATAAATAAATAAATAAAAAATCGAGCTTGGCTCGGCCAGAGCCTTATTTATTTATTTTTTGGCCGGGTTCGACTCGTTGATATAGCTACTTGCATGCAAATCGTAATTTTTTTTCTTTTATAAAAGTCTTAAACGTGTATAATTTTTCAAAAACGGGTGACGACGAAATTTGAATATCACCTTGATACTATGTTGTTGAGTGTTGACCACCGCTTTTAAAAGCTACTAGAATGCATTGTGTAAAATGGAGAATATTATTCTTGTTATTTATTATTAATAGTAATATAAACTATAACCATGTAAGATTGTTGCATATTGTTTTGGCTAGCACCGTCTACAAAATTATTCACTTATTTATTACTTATTTTTATCAATATATATTTTCAGTAACTTATAATTTCTCGCAAACTACGTGAAATGGATTGTAACGAAAAAATAGGTCTCTCTCATAAAGCCGTGAATTAAAAAAAATCAAAAGAGTTATGTTTGTGAGGCAACTCCAACTTGAATTCATTGTAGGATAATGACGTTTGTACAATTATTTTTGACAACATTGTTGATAATGTTATATGTGTCAAAAAGGTATTGATTGGAAAAATAAATTATTTTTTGAACTATCAAATGATAATGCGACACGTGATATGTTGTTAACAATATTATAAAAAAAGATTGTACACCAAATATAATTGTTCATTCTAAATTATAATACAACTGATTTATAATATATTCCATTATTTTACAAAGAATGTACATTGGAATCTATCAAAACATTCTGTTGCTAATGTTCATCGTGGAAACTAATGAACTTCCAACAAGAAAAAAGAGAGAAGAAAGTCTCATCCTACATAGTAAATACACAGCTAGTTAGTTAAATCCAAAGGCAGAGCCGCAAACTTAATACATCATCTTCGGCTTCGCATTCGAGCTCCCCAAGACATTCTTCCTTCTGAGTCCTTTTTCCTTTGTTTCAATTCATTTAGTTGAGATTGCCACTTTATTTTCCAATCCCCTCTCTCGTCCCATCTCTGTTTGAATTTGAAAACAAAACAAGAAATTGATTCAGTATTCTCTAGCATCCATAACTTTTGAATAAATAATCAAGAAAGAAAAAAGAAAGAGTGATGGTAAAGAGATTTACCTGGTTATATTCATATCCTCTTCCAGAAGAAAAATTGAACGCCAATCCATTAGTTAAATCTTGATCATACAAAGCTCTGGTGTGCGGATCAGAAAGGGTTTCATAAGCCTTTTTAACCAAGATAAATCTCCTGGTGTATTCATCCACACGCTCTGGTGGAGACACATCAGGATGATATTTTCTTGCCATTTGTTTATAAGCTTTCTTTATATCAGAAACCGACCCACCTTCTGTAATCCCCAACACATCGTAGAAACTGTCTGTGCTTTGCGTTGGTGCATATAATGCCTTAAAACTGGCCCTAGAATGGGGTCTTGTAGTCTTTCCAGATGAAGTTTTCAATAGAATTCTAGAATTTGCCAACTGGGAACTGAAGGAAATGCTTGAAAAACTCTCGGGAATGGAATTTTTGTTGGGCTTATTCGGTGTTGTTGAACACAAATGAAAGCAGGTTTTGGAACCTGAAACCACCGCACAACTCATTCTTCTGGTTTTGGCTTATTGAGCTTTTAGGTTTTAAGTATGAAATTTTTCTTCTTCTTGGAGTGCCACTCTTTGAATGTCTCTTTTTATATAGAGTGGTGTGGATGAACTTGACGCGGTACAATTCTAGTCTTCTAGATGAGTTTGTATGTCTATGATGTTTCCATATTTTACTTTTCTTTCTCATGTTGGTAGGGACAGATAATTTTTTTTGGCTTAATTTCTTTTGTTAATAATTAAATATTTTAAAAAAATAAAATCACAGACATTGTATTATTAATCCGAGGTGCAAAGATCAACACAAACTTAGCAGGGAAGTTTACCTCTGATTAAAAGGAATTTTTTTCTTTCTTATCTCACATGGGGTCGAGAGTACACTGTAAGAGTTAAAACAAAAAGACGGGGTCTTACAGACCCCTCACAAGGGGCGGGCCCCCACATGTATTTAAAAAAAAAAAAAAA